GGGTAGCTCAGGAAGACAAAGCAAAGTAATATAACAAAATGTGCAAAGAGCCAGAGTCAGAAAATAAAAAAGAGATAAACTTGCTCAGTATTTCTTAAGCTGAAGGAATTGAATAACAAATTCAAGCTTTGACTGGCAATACTTAAGGATGCTTTGGGCAGAATATGAATGATCCAGGAAGTCTCAAAAAGTACATGAAACAACTTCTGTTCTAGAGACAATGATGATGAAAGAGGAAGTTCAAGCTGCTCTGAAGGAATTGGAAAAAAAAAACCCCAAACACCTAGGCCCCAGGAATTGATGGAACTCTAATTGATGTATTTCAACAACACACGCAGCCCTGGAAGTACTCACCAGGCTGTGTCAAGAATTCTGGAGGACAACCACCTGGGCAGCTGATTGGAAGAGATCCACATTTATTCCCATTCCAAAAAAAAAAAAAAAGGTGATTCGACAAAGTGTGGAAAATATCAAATGATACCACTAATACCACACACAAGCAAAATCTTACTGAAAATTATTGAAAAGTGATAGGAACAGTACATCTATGAAGAACTAACAAATAAAAACTGAGCTTAGAAGAAGCACTAGGGACGTTCTTGCCAATGTCAGATGGATCTTGACTAAAAAGCGAGTACAAGAGGAGTGTCTGTCTGCTTCATTGACTATGCAAAGGCATTTGACTGTGTGTTGTTGTTGTTATTATGTGATGTTGAGTTGCCTGTGTCTCATAGCGACCCTGTGTACAACAGCTCTGAACCCAGCCCTGCCCTGAGCCAATCTCACTGACTCTGACCCATTTACCTCGATTGCCCCAGTTACTTTATCAGTCCATCTTGATCAAGGTGTTCCTCTCCTGTGCTGTCCCTCCACCCTTGTGAGCATGATGTGTTTATCCAAGGACCAGTCACTCTTGTCCATGTGCCCAAAATATGTGACAAGGCGCTTCAAATTCCTACCCTATAACAAGAAACTTGGTTTCACCCTCTCCAAGACAGACCTATTTGCTTTTGTTTTGTTTTTTTGTGATTCATGGTTTGTTCAAGACTCTTCTCCTGCACCACACCTCAGAGGCATCATTTTTCTTCCATCATCCTTAGTCATTGTCCAGCTCTCTGCTGCATAGCAAGTAATTGCGAAGACCATGGCTTGGATCTGGCACGCCTTAGTCTCTAGACTGAATTGCTTCTCAGGCCTCTGAAGAGATCCCTGACAGCAGATTTTCCCAGTGCAGTTCTTTTGTTTTCCTGACTGCTAGTGACAAGAGTGTTGATTGTGGAGACAAGCAAGCTGTAATTGTTAACAACCTCAGTCTCTTCTCCATCTGTCATGGTGCTGTCAGTTGTCTTAGTGGTGAGAATCTTTGTTTTCTTGATGTTGAGCTTCAGTCCATATTGAAGATTACAATCCTTGAACTTCTGCAGGAAGAGCTTCAGGTCCTACTCAGTTTCAGTAAGCAAGGTAATGTCATCTGCATGACATAGGTTCTTGATGAGCCTTCCTCAGTCCCGATGCCACATTTCTCCATGTGTGGATCACAACAAGTTGTGGCTAACTTTGAGAAGAATGGAAATCCCAGAACACCTGGTAGTGCTCATGTGAAAGCTATACTTGGACCAGGAGGCAGCGATGAAAACAGAGCAAGGAAACACTGCATAGTTCAAAAACAGAAATGTAGTGCATCAGGGATGTGTCTTGTCTCCATACCTTTACAGTCTGTATGTAACAGATCATTTGAGAGGCTGGACTTTATGAGTAAGAAAGTGACATCAGGATTGGAGGAAGACTCATCAACAACCTGCAGATGACATGACCTTACTTGCTGAAACTGAGAGGGCTTGAATCATTTGGTGAAGAAGGTTGTAGTCTGCAATGTGCATTGAAGTTCAACATCAAGAAAATGAAGATTCTCACCACTGGGCCAATTGGCAGCATCATAATGGAGAAGAGATTGAGCTTTTTAACAGTGTCAGCTTGCTTAATTCCACAGTCAACATTCTTGGCACCAGAAGTCAGGAAGTAAAAAGACTAATTTATTAGGAAAATCTGCTTTTAGGGACATTTCTAGAGTGCTGGACAGCAAGGTTATCAGTCTAGATAATAAGGTGCACTGGCTGGTCTTCACAGCTACTTGCTATGCATCAGGGAGCTGAACAGTGACCAAGGATGATAGAAGAAGAATCAATGCCTTTTGAGTTGTAGTGCTGGAGAAGACTTTTGAACATATTCTGGACTGTCAAGAGAACTAACAGCTCTGTCTTGGAGAGTGTGAAACCGAGCTGCTCCCTGGAGGCAAGAATTTTGAGACTTCATCTCACATACTTTGTGAGATGTATCCAGGAGGGATTAGTCTTTAGAGAAGTATATAATACTTGGAAGGGTCAAGTGACAGCACAGGAAAGGAAAACCCCAGATGAGATGGATTGACACATTAACGAAGATAATGAGCATAGGTGTGTCAGAGACAGTGAAATTGTCTCAGGATGAGTAGGGTTCAGAGCTATTGCACATAGGGTCACTATGAGTCTTAGTTGACACAGCAATGAAAAGATCACTAAATTAAAATCTTCCAGTCACTTGGGAGAAAGATGAGACAGTCTATGCTCATTAGAATTTACAGTCATGGACCACCAATGGAAGATCAGTGTAGGTGGAATTTAGTTGGTGTCAGTACTGAGTTCTAAAAACTGGAATCCTGCTGGCATAGTGATTAAGCACTTGGTCGATAATAGAGGATGTTGGATTGAACCCACTAGCCATTCTGTAGGTGAAAGATGTCGTATTTACTTTTGTAAAGATTTACAGCTTTGGAAACACTACCCAGCAGTTCCGCTCTGTCCTGTTAGGGTCACAATGAGTCAAAAATTCAACTCAAAAGCAAAGAGTTTTTGAATGCAAGCATTGGTGTATTATTATAAGTAACAAAGTCAAGAGTATTTCTTAACACTATTAAAATTTATTGATTATATTATAATAGAAGGGAATGTTAAGATTTAAATTAGAGATTAATGAAAATACTTCATTTTACTTTTCAAAGTTCAGAGACTCCCTGAATTCTCTATTTGATCCCCTTCTTTGCGAATATTAAACAAGGAGGAGGAAGAATTCTGGCCATGATTACTTTCCCTGGGACATTTTTTGAGCTCGTAGTAAAATACAATTACAATGTAAGTCCTTGATGAATTCTATTATAATTTCTTTTTGTTTTATTTGGAGTACCAAGGAATAAATTTTAATATTTTTGTGGAAACCGACATTCCTCAAAAGATTCCTCTGTGTCATGAAATTCTGACATCCTGCTGCTAATCTAAGGGTTTGTGGCTTAGTTTTACGTGGTGATCCTGCTGTAAAAGGCTTGGGAAATTGTTCTCATAAAGATTACAGCCTAGAAAACCCCATGAGCTTGGGGTCACTATGTGTTGAAATAGACTCATCGACCCCCACCAATGTTTTCCAGAATTGTCTGAGGATAAGACTAATGTGGAAAATTCCATTCACCAGGATGCACCCCTACAAATTATGACACCAATAGGTTTGGGGTTTGACAGAATATTTGACAGAATACTTTTAAACAGGTATCAGTGATTTCATTGTTAAACAAGTTGAAAAATAGTCCATAAGTTTGCTTGACTGATCTGAAAAGAAATTGCACGTGAGGAGTAAAATATTACTACCAGCAGTACCATTATTATTTTTAGGATAGAAAAAGGAGCATTTGGAAGAGCAAACAGTCAAAGGTATTGAACCTAGACATTGGGAGAATGAAAGTGCTTTGATAGGAATGTAATTTCCAACAAGAATGCAGTGGTGGTATTACCAAATGGCCTAACCCAGTATGACAAAGTAGGACTCATAGGTTCTGTCAGTAAAAAGGCTGTCCACAGAGTCTTTATGAGTTGTGGTCACCTCGACAGGTGGCCCAACTGGCAAGAAGCTGTGCTGAAATCCCTAAGGCACATGATTCGAGGCCACCAACTGCTCTGTGGGGAAAGGATGTGCAATTTCCTTCCATGCCGTTAACTGCCTCTGAAAACCCTTCAGACGGTCAGCAATGGGTCGGTTCTGACTTTACCATATACAACAGTCTTTCAAAGATAGAAAAAGGAGCTGGGCTATGGCAGTCTCCTCTGGAGTTTCTCATACAGCAGAGCCAATCAGCCCTAGACTGCATTCATAATAAGCCTCTTGTTTTGGCATCCCTGGGTAGCAGGAATTACTAAACACTTACTGAAAATCTGGCAGTTTGAGTCCACCTAGAAATGCCTTGGAAGAAAGGCCCGATCTGAACTTCCTAAAGAGTGCAGCCCCTGAAGATTCTGGAGCTCAGTTCTGCTCTGACACAGGTGGGGTGGCCACACATCCTTATCACTTGGTTACCAGTTCACTTCTCGTAAGTAGCACACGCACATAACATCACCCTGTGTGTATGTCCTGAAGTATTTCTAAAGAAATGATGGCTTCAAAGCTTTTTTTAAAAAAAAATGATCAATTCTGCTTACACAAGTTGCATTATGAATTGATGTAAAAAATTAAGTGAGGAGGTTGGAGTTTTAGTGGTAGACTTGAGAATGAATGATCAGTTTCATTCATGTGCTCACTATTTTCTTTCTCAAGATGATTAAAATAAAGATATAAGTATCTTCTTCCTTTGGGAAAAATGTAGAGAATTAGGAATTGATAGTTCTTTTAAGTTGGAGTAAGTGGTTGCAGCACTGTTGTTTCAGAGATAATTATACCAAGAACTGGTAATGATGTGCTCTCTTTCCTGGTAGAACTCCTGACAGGGGAGAGAGTTAGGATAATAGTGGAATAAGATGCAGCACTGAAGAATGAGTGAGTAGTAAGAACAGAAGCCAGAGTGCAGACGACTCTCTCAGGAGGTCTGACTTTGAAAGAAAGTGAGGTGAGGGGAGAGAACAGGAAGGAGTCATAGAATTAAGTTACTGGACTGTTTGATAATGTGCTTTACTTTTTTCCAGTTATTTTTTTAATGACCAGAAATGAGTGGACAATCAGAAAAAAGCAGTTCCATCCAAGATGAAAGTACAGATGAAAATTCTCCTGAGAAAACCTGTCAGATTGGACAGAAGCAACTGGTACGTCATATGAATATTGTGATTTAATGTTGTATTAATTTCTTAAGGCTTTTATAACAAAAATACTATAATTCAGTAGCTTTAAGGAGTAGAAATTTATTTTCTTATAGTATAGGAGGCTAGGAGTCTGAATTCAGGGATATTCTAATGTATATTAGAATGTATTATAATGTATATTCTATTGTATTTTTAATATTATTAAACAATATTATAATAGAATATTGTTGTTGTTGATTGCCTTTGAGTCGAGCATGACTCATAGTGGCCCTAAGAACACGAGGCCTGAAGCCCCTCTACAACTACTGACATTTATCAAAGTTCATATAATTCCATACAACTACTGACATTTATCAAAGTTCATATAATTCCATGTTAGCTACAGAAAGGCTTCAGGTCTTTTGTTCTTAGGGTCAGTATGAGTTGTGCTCGACTCAAAGGCAATCAACAACATCATGCTAAAGAAAGGAATTGACTTCATACTTGGAAAGGTAGAGAGTTAGGAAAGAAAGAAAGCCCCTTAACTAGATGAATTGACACAGTGACTGCAGTAACGGGTTCAGGTACATCAGAGATGATGATAAAGATTGCACAGGATTGGACAGAGTTTATATCTTCTATTTGTGGGGTCGTTATGTACTCAATTTGATGACACCTAACAACAGCAATGCTAAGGGAAAGTTTTCTCCATCTACTCTGAGAGAAATCCTTGTTTGATGACTCAAGCAAGATGAAATCTTTGGCAACTTCAATTCTTTCTCCATCTATCATGATGTTTTCTATTAACCCAGTGATGCAGACTTTTGTTTTCTTGATGTTGAGATATAATCCATATTGAAGGCTGTAGCCCTTGATCTTCTGGAGCAAATGTTTAACATGTTCCTCACTTTCAGCAAGTATGGTTGTGTCATCTGCATAATGTAGGTTGTTGAGTTTTATCTCAGTTTGTCTAGCATTCTTCTTGACGTTTCTTGGCAATCTCCTTATGACATCTAATTTTCTTCCATTTATGCTTTCTCTTTGTGCCTAATCTGCTTCTTAATATGTCAGAGAAGATAGATTCAAGACATAACTCTACACTAATGAACTCTTTAACTTAAGAAAGAAAACCCTGTTCCCAAGTGGGATTACATCCAGAGGAGGTGCAGACTATAAATAACAAGGGAGGAGATTGCCCGCCTTCCTCCAAGGAGCAGCTGAGGGTTCCAAACACCTGCCTTTGTGTTGACGGCAAACCAATTCCTTACCGATAAACAATGAATATTTTTGGGGGATACATGAAATTGTTAATATATATTCTTTGGTGTGTTCTCCATTTGATCTGAGCTGTCCTTGGGCTTGGGTGGGTTCCAACAGGAAAGTCTCTGCTCTTGTGTTATGTTAATGGGGTTTTCTCCTTATTCACCTACTCACTCGTGAGCTAGTTACACTTCACATTTCTCTGCTAATCCCTTTTAGCTCAGTGCTCAGTGCATTGAAATCTTGCTTTCAGACAGAATACTTGTGGAGACTATATCAAAGTATACTTTTTTATTGTTAGTAAATGCTAGTCATGGTTTTAAAACTTTCTGTATGCCGAATCTAATTCTTATTACAGTTCTGTGAGGGGAATACTATTGTTAACTAATGTCATTTACAAAAGGAGAAACTGAGGCATAGAGAAGTAGGGACTTGCTCAAGGTGCTAAAAAGGGGCAGAACCAAGAGTTGGCGCTGGTAGGTCCACAGAGGTGTTCTTGTTAACTCATTAATAACTGTGGCTAACACTGAGAAGAATGCGCACCCAGAACACTTAATGAGGCTCACACAAAACCTATACCTAAACCAAGAAGCTTTACTGTGAACAGAGCAAAGAACACTGCATGATCTAAATTCAAGAAAGGTGTATGCTCCAGATTGACAGTGCACCGCCTCCAGCACCACTTCTCCATTAATATCCTAATTAAAAGGCGTCAGTTCTTCTTCAGTCTTTCTGAAACATGAAACAACTGGAAATATCGTGGCCTGGGTCAAGCAGACCTTTGTCTTTAACTTCTTGTTCTCGCAGCTTAGCACTCTGGAGAGGTCTTTGACAGCAGACTTTTTGACGGCCAACTTAAAAAAAAAAAGCATTCCTTGATTCCCTGATGGCTGCCTCCATGGATGTTGATTGTGGATCCAAGTAAAATTCAGTCATTGAGAACTTTAATCTTTTCTCCATTTATCATCATGTTGCCCATTGGTGTAGTCATGAAGATTTTTATTTTATGTTGAAATATTGTCTTTATGTTGCAGAGCTGTGTGTTTTTCAAAAGTTACATAATTATACCTAAATATAGACTATTTTACTTATTACATACTTAAATTGAAAAAATAAGCATATGTGTACACATGAAAAAAGAAAAGAAAGGCTTAAGTTATATAGATGTTAGACTCATACTACTAATGAACCAAACTGTAGAAAACCCTATAAAAAGCATGAATTATATTGAAACAAAACTCATTCTGTATATATTTGTTTTGTTTCAAGGTATAGCATTTTAAGTATTGATTAGCCTGTGTTTCACTGGGCTGATTACTCTAAAATCCCTCTAAAGAACATTCTTGTCTAACAGCATATGTACTACGTACTCCAGGTAAACTGGCAGTATTTCATGGAAACATCTTTGTTGCTTGTCCATTTCTGTAGAAGTCTCAAAATGGAGAGTTTTGAAAATTTCTCCTAAGTCTGTACAAGTCATTTGAGCAAGATTTTCTCCAGATCTGTCTTTGCTTCAGATTAGACCCTAATGTGATACAGAGAGTGGACTGTCAGGTGTCTGAGTCCCGAATGAAAGGCCTGGCTAAATGAGTAGATGTGGGACATGCCCCAGAGCGCTGGTTGAGGGCCATGTGTGACACGGGGTTTCCCAGTGGTGAAAGACACTGTTCCTGAGTTTCTCCAACTATCTATTGAGGAAGGACTTGCATTGTCTTCAAAACTGTGACTCATCGGCTTTGATGCATTAAGGACTAGAGGGAAAGGGCTTCCAGATTGACGGTAAAAGTGAGGTGGATTAAAAAGCTCACTGGAAGCCAAGGAGGTGGTTGAAGATGTGTGTGGGTAGGTGGAGAATATTGGGCAGGGGTGAGAAAAATTTATTAGGTTCAAGTAATTCTGAAGGTGTAAGGTGGAGTCCAATGTGTGTTGAGATGTTATTGAAATCAGTAATTAAGTAGGCTTAGAAATTTAGGAATTACTTGCAAAATAGAGATGTGAGAAATTTTCCCAATGTCCTTTAATCAGGTTTCTTTGGTGGGACTGTCAAATGAGCAAGCCAGGAAAGCTGAACCGAGACAAATCCACATTGCTTTGCACCTTTGTAAGCAGTAAAGACGACTAGATTTTCATATTCAGAAAAATAAACACACAAAAACACAAAAAACAATCTATGACATGGTGCCATGAAGTTGGAACTGACTCATAGCTGACCATCCAGCCATTTCCAGGGCTGTGAATTGTACCAGAGGGGGTCGCTCTTCCTTCTTCCATGAAACTGTTGGAGGGTTGGAGTCACCAGAGAGGTGCTGCCATTGATTTACCAGTGCCGCTCCCTGTGGATTAAGCCAGCAGGGTATCCACTCGAGCACAGATCCTCCCCTGAGATTGGGAAACTGCCTGGTATTCAGTAGGTATGAATGAGATTCTATTTTCCCAGCCAGCCTTTTTTTACATATAGAGTATGTGAATTTTGTGCTGCATTTTTATTACTCAGAAAGAATGCCCTAATTTGAGATAATTTTCAGGATTGTTTAAAGCTCGGTTAGATTTTTCATTTCTCTGTATAAATCATTTATACTGTGATGCCATTGTGTTTTACATAGAAAAGAATAATTTTTGAGTCGGTGTGAAAACAAAACTACCCAGTGCTTATTACGAGTATGTTTCATATGTTTTACAGCAACAAATAGAGAGGCAGTTAAAATGTTTGGCATTTCAAAACCCTGGACCACAAGTAGCAGACTTCAACCCTGAAACAAGGCAGCAGAAAAAGAAAGCTCGTATGTCAAAGATGAATGAGTATTTTTCTGTGAAATACAAGTAAGAGCATGGTTTATTGCTTATATGGTTTATGGGATTGTAAAATACTTGAATTCTTGACAAAGCTAGCAACTAGAGTTTTCCTCTTTTCCTTGGCATTAAAAAATCTTTTTGTAAATTACAGAAGTATCCCAGCTGCCTAGAAGTTAGTAGAAACTTTTAAGAAATGGACATATCCCCAGACTAGGAATCAATTAGTGCTCTGGTCAAAGCTTCAAAGGTCCTTACACCAGAGCAATGATGTCCTTAGATTGATGTCACCCAGTGTGATGACAGCTGTTGTCAGATCTTCGTACCTCCTATGTGTAGATGTGTAGAGACGGAATCACCCTCCCTCGGCCCCACCCCAAAGCACAGGTGGAGTGTGCCTTTCTGTTCCTGCCCCCTTGTCTCATGTGGCTTCCCCACAGCTCTTCCTCTTCCCCTTGTCCCTTGTCTTCCTCTCCCCTGTACCACCTGGCTTCCTCACAGCTCCTCTCCTTCCACATTGGTAGAGTCAAGGACATTCTTTTCTGTCCACTGGCACCCTCCCCAGTACAAATAAAGGCAAGGACAGTGAGGAGAGGAGAGAGAGATTAAAAAACTTGATTATGATATCAGCTCATCATTCCAGTGCTTACCCTGAGTAATTTAAAAAAATGTTATTGTATATCATACAGTCTTTTTAGAAAAGGACAAAAAAAAGTTCAGCTCATTATGGAAAGATCCCAATAAGAATGGTTTTACAACACCCCCCCTCCCCAATCTGGAGTATTTTTTACAACCATAAGATTGACCGTATTTTTTTGTTTTGTTTTAAAAATCCTAGTGTATGTAAGAATCAACTTAAATCAGCTAGGGTTTTTATGTTTTGGTTTTCATTTACTTTATTCTTAGATTTGCTTTGTTCTTAGACTCCAACTCATAAGAACCCTCTATATGAGAAATCAAAACCTTGCATCATCCCAACAGGATCTTCAGGATTTACACTCATTTTTACAGTCATAATGTCAGTCTGATAATTTACCTAAGTGAGACAATATTCCCCAGCACTGTTGGAAAAATGAAGCCTCTTCGAATTGGAATTTATTTGGTTTCTTTTTTTTTTAAGTGTATGTCTTTTTTATTGTTTTAAAAAATTTTATTATTAGTTTCAATGAAAATTTACAGAGACTTTGGATTTCCATTCATTCATTATTGCACTTTTCTCCCCTTCAAACCCTCACCCCTAGTACACTATCCTGCAAAAGTAAAAGAAAAATTCTTTCATTGTTTTACAGTCCCTCCCCCCAGGTCCACTCCACTATGGAGCCTTCGTTCTGGACTCCTGTTATGACAAAATTGCCTAATAATTTTCCCTCTTAAATGATTTTCTCCCTCCTCTGTTTCAATGCAGTATACATTATTGAACCCATTCTTCTCAGTCTTCTCCCAACCCCGAAGTCAGGTCAGTCCTGCTTTACAACAGTGGCACCATGCAGTATTTATCCTTTTGTGACTAAGATACTTCACTCAGAATAATGTCCTCCAGGGTCACCCATTTTGAATAATATTGCATGAGTACCTTGTTTTTCAATGCAATGTAGTATTTCATTGTTTGAATATACCACAGCTTCTCTATCCATTCATTTGTTGATGGCCACTTAGGTTGTTTCCAACTCCTTGCTATTGTGAACAAAGCAGTGATAAACATGGGTGTGCATATATCTGCTTGGATGTCAGTTATGGTCTCTTTGGGGTCTATTCCTGGTAGTGAAATTGCTGGGTCAAATGGTATCTCTATTTGCAACTTTTTTAAAAAGCACCATACTGCCTTCCACAGTGGTTGCACCATTTTACACTCCCATCAACAGTGGAATAAAGGCTCCAGTTTCTCCACAATCTTGCCAGCATTTGATGCTTGCTGTTCTTTTAAATTTTGGTTTTCTGACTGGAGTGAGATGATATCTCATAGTTGTTTTGATTTGCATCTCTCTTAGAGCTAGGGATTTTGAACATTTCTTTATGTGCTTGTTAGCCATCTGAATGTCTTCTTCAGTGAAGTGTCTTGAACTGGATAATTTCTAGGATACCTTTTCCTTAAAGTAAGAAGATTGAAATTTTAACATAATTTTCTGCATAGTCATTTATCCTCAGTGTTGAAAAAAAATTGCATTGTCATGTTAATGCCATTGTTTTTCTTTGCAGTGTTATGAGAAAGTATGACAAAAGTGGCAGGCTAATATGCAACGATGTGGATCTGTGTGACTGCCTAGAGAAGAACTGCCTGGGCTGCTTCTACCCCTGCCCCAAGTGTAACTCCAACAAGCGTGGGCCCCCGCGCCGGTGCAACCGCCGGTGGGTGTATGATGCCATCGTCACCGAGTCAGGGGAGGTTATCAGCACGCTCCCGTTTGAAGTTCCCGACTAAGAGCTCTTGTGTGTGGATGCACTTTTATCTTTTCTTTGTATATGCAAGTTGACTTTTCTCTCGAGCGAATTTTAGGGCTTAGGAAGATGTTGATAGAAACCTTAGGATTCGTATTCCCTCAAGCAGTAGACCTATACAGCAATAATCAGTAGCAATTCTATGGCCTTCCTGTTGTGTCTTCTCCTCTTCTTCCTCACCTTGTGACAGAAGAGTGTGGCGCTGGGTCACTCTAAGTCTCTCCTAGCTCCACTCCACCCTCAGGTTAAAATGTTCTTCCCTCTTTACCTGAGAAGAGTAGTTTTAAGATTTCCACACTTTCATAACACATTTTTCTAAGAAAATTGTTCTTATGTAGAATGTAGCACCTAGTATTTATACTATTTAGTTATTTTTAGTACTTTTTTACACATTACTGGTTCTAAGTCAGATTGTCATGTGGATTAAAAAAAACCCAACAATCCTGTGACTTTGTACTATATGTTCATAATCTTTATTGTTTTTATATTACTGACTTTGTTAAGATTTGATAACATTTTTAGGTTTTGAGACTTGTATTTTTCTTCTGATATTGAGAAATTAAGACTTGAATGTACTAAATGCCAGTGACTTGTCTTTTTCATTTCTAAGTCAGTATTTTGGACTTGTTTTTGTTTTGTTATTTAAAAAAGGGATAAAACTCAAGTTGTTAATACTGAAGTGTGTTTCTGTACATTTCTCTGGGTTCTACTGGTTCAGTCTGTAAAAGATTGTGCTGTTAACCAGAAGGCTTTGATTTTCCAGCATTTCAAATCATACATTTAGTGGGAGAAAGATGGGCACTCTCTTTCCATTAAGATTTACAGCCTGGAAACCCAATAGAGGGGTCTCTATGAGTTAGCATACACTCGATGGCAGTGATTGGAGTATTGACTAAATAAATGATACAGTCTTTCAATTCAGCTACACTGTTCTTTTACTTGTGTGCCTTTGAGTCAGAACTGACTGACAGCTGACCCTCCAGTGGGTTTTCAGAAGCAGTAAAACACATCACAGGAGAGTGCCCATCTTTCTCCCATGGAGCAGTCATACCTTTGGGCTGGCGGCACAGATCCTTCCCACTAAGCCAACAGAGCTCCCTAGACACTGTAGGAAGTTTTCTTAAAAAGTTAAAATTAGCTGCCTTTGAATATTTTTTTACAAGAGTCTTGTTTACTTTAAGTCAGCAGTTCTCATAATTTAGTGTACATAAAAATATGGACAAACAAATTTGTATATTAAATCCTGGAAGGTTTGTTAAGACAGATTCTGGGGGATCCACCCCCAGAATTTCCGATTTATTTTCTTTTGTACCAAGTGTTTAGGTGATGCTGATGCTGCTGGCATGGAAGCCACACTTTGAGAATCACTTGTATAAATTATATTGTTGTTGTTAGGTACCATTAAGTCAAATACAACTGGAAAAGGCAGAAGGTCATCGAAAGAGAAGGCCCTCAGAAAGACAGATTGGGCTCAAGTATATCACCAATGGTGAAGGGGGCACAGGATAGGGTAAAGTTCAAATCTGTTCTTCATAGGGTCGCTGTAGTGGGTTTTGAGAGGCTGTAAATAGCACAGTAGGATTATACATCTTTCAATGAACAGCCGGTAGATTTGAACCATCTACATTTGAGTTGGCAGCACAACTCCTTACCCACTAGGCCACCAGAGCTCCATGCTACCAGAGCTTCCTAATAATATGAATGTTAATGGAGTTAGTAAGATCATTTTCACTTCAATTCAAACATAAAATTTTATAGCATTTTCAGGGTTTATTTTTCTTCCATAATCAGATTAAAAACTCTGATTTTTGTTCCATGTACTTGTGTCAGGGTAGATTACTGACAGTTCTGGACTTGTTACATGTAGTATGTTTTTAGACTAACATGACAAAGATCCTAAATTAACACTGTGGCCACAGTACTCCTGTAGGTGTTAATAGGAAAACTTAAGTTTTTTGGTCTTTTTTTGGTTTGTTTGTTTGTTTTGTTTTTTGGTCTTCTTAACCACAGAATTTACTGGGTTTTTCCAAATTCAACTGGCTTTTATTCAGCATACACTGTTTTTTTAACCAGACATTGTGTTAAGTGTTCCAATTCATTTCCTTTGATCATCAGAACCCTAGGTTTTGGTTAGGTGCCATCAAAGTTGAGTGTAACCTGTAGGGACCATATGAACAATAGATCTGAACCCTGTCTTGTTCTCTGCCGTCCTCATGCTTTCTGACACTCTGCTTATTGTGGCCATCACTGTGTCAGTCCATCTGGTTGAAGATCATCTTTTCTTTCACCGACCCTCCTTGGCGAAGGTTGTCTCCATGGAAGGACATGGAAAACATCATGTCCCCTTCCAGGGAATAACCTGTCCTAGAATCATGCCCGAAGTATGTGAGATGAAGATTCAACATCTTTGCCACCAAGAGCACTCTGGTTGCACTTTCTTCAAGACATATTTGCTTGTTCATTTGACAGTTTATGGCATATTCAGTACTCTCTTCTAGTACCACAGCTCAAAGGCATCAATTCTTCTTCTGTCAGCCTTACTCATTGTCCAGCTCTCAGACTCATAACAAGTGATTGAAAAAACCACAGCATGAATTACGTGCACCTTAGTCCTCAAGACATTTCCTCAATCATGGTAGTTCATAGGGGTAATTTACCACATAGTTCATATCCTCTTATTCCTGGTTCTCCTTCTGTTGCTCTAGATGAATTGTTTTTATTTTTCTTTATAGTCTTTTGTTTTCATAACTAAGGCATCTAGAACCCAGTGAGATAAAATTACCGACTTAAGGATACAGAGAAGAGCTGAGACTCTAATGTTTTGAACATAAACTAGGTCAATCAGTGTTCCTTCCTTTATGCCAAGTGTTTCTCATATTTACCTGAATCTAAAACTAACCCACACACTTCTGATGATAGGAATTTTAAAGCTCCATCTCAAAACTCAGGACTCAAAACCTCTAGCATTGAGCTTTGGGAATTTACACTTTTAAATAATCACCCCCAGTATGCCTTATGATTAGCTAGGTTTGAGAAATACCACTTTATTATCCTGACTTCATACATTATGAAACTTTACACTCTTGTAAATTAGCTTTAGAGTACCTTTTTTTGGTATTCTCATATTTTTTTAGCCTTAAACATTAAATATCAGATGATTCTATTTAAGTGATCTGGTTTAAAAAGCATGTTGATAATTTATGGAGTAACTGATGTTAGATGGCTCTTAGCTGAAAGCAGGGAATACCAGAAGAATGTCTATGTGTGTTTCATTGATTATGCAAAGGCATTTGACTGTGTGGATCATAACAAACTGTGGCTGACTCTGAGAAGAATGAGAATCCCAGA